ATTAATTAGGTTCGGTCTGAGGAAGGGAAGACCGACAGGGATTCATCTAATAAGTACTGTAGTTATTTGCTCTAGGATTAGAACCTTGTACGCGTCTGCATTGAACATCTGCCACTTCGCCCACAACATCAACTTATCTTTTTTGATTTGTTTTAAACCTTAAATGCTGGTGGAAATTACTTAGAGATATGTTCTTATTGCTTTGGGGCTGTGTAAGTGTTACTTTGACGTTTTTACTTAAGAAATTTGGAAAAATTGAAGGATAGGTATGCATGTTATAATTTATGAATGCCTCATTCTGTCGGCTTCAAACCTTCAACGCCAATAATTTAAGAATACAGTTTCTGAGCGGCTTCAGACTAAGTGCTGGTGAATTTTGGGATATTTGTCTGGAAGATAACTAGAACTGCTGCTTCTGTTTGGCTTCAAAATTTGATACTGAATTGCATCATAAACCATGCCGCACTCTGTACTATTCTGTTTGCATTCAGAGAGGTATAAGGGGGCTGGGCTTATGTAATACATGGATGCCTTTCTCGGATTGCGTGTATTCGTGTTTCCATCTTACTATAGTCCATAGTGACAAGCTTATAAGTTGCAAGTTTTTAAATATTTGTGTAATATTTCCCACCAACTCAGAGGAGAATTACATTCATCATCACACACCCAAGTTCTCTTTCTAAAAGTACATGCATATTACAATTCAAAACCTTAATATTCACAACTTCAAAACTCAAATCTAGCTCACCTGTTTTCCCGAATCCCTTTATATACATTATATTCACATTCCAAACCGTCATTATATATATATATATATATATATAGTGTATATAAAAAAAAGGTCTCCTTTTTTCTTAACAAGGAAGGTAGGTTTTACAATATAAACAATTCAGGTAAAAAAAAAAAGGGGGGGGGGGGGTGATACCGAAGATCTCTTGAACTAATTTTTCGAAGCACAGTAAACATCGGTCCCAGCTATAACATGTTCAAACTGAGGCAAGTCAGTTTTCAGTGTACATTTTATACATAATATTAAATTTAGTGTGTATTTTATAGTATATAAACATGCTTGAGCTATCAACATATGACCGGTGGCAAAATTAGGTAAAAATACCTTAATTTTAATCACTAACAGTTTTAGGAAGTAAAGTGAATCTTAATATGTGTAGAGAAGCACAAATTTCTAATGTATTATCTCTAGTTTTAGCGATAACTTGCACAAAACTAATTCCCATGCCGGGAATCGAACCCGGACCTCCTGGGTGAAAGCCAGGTATCCTAGCCAGGTATCCTAGCCAGGCATCCTAGCCAGGTATCCTAGCCAGGTATCCTAGCCAGGTATCCTAGCCACTAGACCACATGGGAGCTGACATAAAACCTTAAAAATATTATCATAAAAAGATGGAAGAACTAAGTCGTTGAAATTTCATAAGAAATGTGAATTAATTTTTTTTAATGGAGACAGGCGTCAGTAAGCTGATTATTACCATGGTACTGTGAAAGTAGTTACTTGTGCTTATTAAAGACCTCAACAGAAATAAAGCATATAGCTGAATTTATTCGGATTATAATTAACCCGGTTAGTAACCCAGGATGTCCCAGTAAGTCTTGGGGTTCTTTTACCCAGGTAACTACTAATGTGAACTGGGGCAAAAAGTGTTTGCCTGGAGTTTACCTGGAGAGAGTTCCGGGGGTCAACGCCCCCGCGGCCTGGTCTGTGACCAGGCCTCCTAACGTTTCCACTAGTGCCGGGATCATACTTTCAGGCTCGCCAAAAATGGACAGTAGAAAATTGGAAAAACGTCGCCTTATCTGACGAATCGCGATTTCTGCTGCGACATGCGAATGGTAGGGTCAAAATTTGACTTAAACCTTTGG